GAATTCTGGGATTCCTCCTTGGGGCAAATACTTTTATGCATACCTCTTTCGGTTGATCCACACCATACTCTATTCTCGTAAGATGATACACATTAGCTAACAGCCCGCCTGGTGCTACATCATATGCACATTGGGAGTGTAGATAATTGTAACCATGTACATATAAAATGACAGCAATGGAATACCAATCCTCGGGCTTTATTTGTAAAGTCTCTATTCCTCGGTAATCAAAGCCTAAAGATCTATGAATTAGCCCATGCTTGACTAGCCAAGCAGACAAACGACCCAGCATCTTTTTTATCTCTCCCGCATTTTTATTTGTATAAGTAATTCATATTGACGATAAAATTTATGAAGAGTGACCCGTTACTTGTTCTTCTGTACAAATGAATCTTGTCTAATTCACTAATTCGTGGGAAGATACTGAACTTTTGTATTTGAAAAATGTTTCAGGAATGATCTCTGAAGTAGATGGCGATTGATAAAGTAATCCTTGATTATAATTTCCAGTATGAATACTGCGTCCAACATGAAACTTGTGATTGGTAGTAAAACACCGATTCTCCTGGTGAGACCTAATTCTATCTTCATAGATTTCTTGAGATATTTTCTTACGAAGTTTTGTTATAGCATCTATAACTGCTTCCGGTTTTGGTGGACAGCCCGGTAAATAGACATCCATAGGAATTAGCTTATCGACTCCACGAACAGTACTATAAGAATCGGTACTGAACATTCCCCTGTAATTGTACATGCTCCCATAGCAATAACATATTTTGGTTCCGGCATTTGCTCATATAATCTCACTAAAGAAGGAGCCATTTTCATTGTTACTGTTCCGGCTATTAAAATCAGGTCCGCTTGTCTAGGACTCGATCTTGGTACCAGTCCGTAACGATCAAAGTCGAATCGTGAGCCTATTAGTGAAGCAAATTCAATGAAGTAACAACTGGTACCATAGAGAAGCGGCCATAAACTAGATAGTCTTAACCAATTTGAAAGATCATTGGATGTAGTTGAAATAACAGAATTTGGGGTTGTTCGATCAAGTAAGGGAAAGTCAATAGAATTCATAACCATCTCAATCGTATTTTTTTTCTTTTTATTGTCTGAATATTCAGGAGCTAAGACCATTCCAATGCCCCCTTTCGCCATGCATAAATTGAACCAACAATTAAGATAAGCACAAAAATTAAAGCTTCTATAAATACGGATACACCCAATACATCGAAACTCATTACCCATGGATAAAGAAAAACCGTTTCAACATCAAAAACAACAAAAACTAACGCAAACATACAATAAAGGATTCTAAATTGTAACCAAGTGTCGCCCATTGGTTCTATACCCGATTCATAACTAGAAAGTTTCTCTGGTCCTTTGCTAATCGGAGCTAAAACTCCGAAAATGAAAAATGCCAAGATAGGAATAATACTTGATATTATTAGAAATGCCCAAAAAATATCATATTCGTAAAGCAGAAACATAGATGCACTCCTATGAATGTGGAAAATATACCGAAGTAGTTGATTCAAATTGAAATTGTCAAGCTATCCATAATTTTTTAGTCAAAACAAAAATTCAATTTGATCTAACTCTCTAGTTTCGTTTGTTTACTGTGGGACATGTCTCGTTTCAAGATTGATCGACTGGAATCCCATTTCCATTACACTTATTTCGATTTTTTTTTCAATATAGTTAGTATTAGTATAACTATATAAATATATATTGCTCTTATATAAATAAAACTCTCTTGGTTTCACCTCATCTAGGATTCTTTCTAAAGAAAATGAATTCTAAATAGAATTCTTATTTTTTTTTAGAAAGAATTGATAATTCTATTTATTATTATTATAAATTGAAATCCATTTTGGTTCTATTTATATAGAATGAATATTCTAAAAGAAATAGAATCAAGAGGTCTTTTTGTCTATTTTTCTTAATGATTTAGGTGATTTAGAACAGAGCAAATAGTTAGATGGAGGAGAATGTCTAGGAATTTCCATCTCA